TCCCGTTTTATTAGGCAATGTTTTGCCAAATAATTAATTTTGTTGTTATTATTGTTTTTATTTTTGGCAACGGAAACAAATCGTAAATTTACTGTCAATTAGTCCATGATTTTTGTACACTAAAAATGGTAGCAATAATTCATTCATTTATATTGAATTATATCATATAATTTATATGTAATTTATAAATAATTGCATTATTTTATTAAGAAATCATTAAATATTTTTTGTTTAGTGATTAAAACACTTTGATTAATATTTAAATTATTTAAAATGTCCTATAATTTATTAAACTCATTAAATGCAGACATTTATCACTTTTATATAATTAAATAATTTTACAAAATAAATTGGCGTTAAATCTGTTTTTGACGATATAATGAACATTTTATTCAGTGATTCTGTATATAAAGTCTACTGTATATAAAATTTCTATATAAAGTGTACGACATTTGATGGGTTACGGCATCTGTTAATTCGGATGCGTTCATAAAATATCGATTTCTATGCACACAATGTACTGAACAACTGGTTTAGTGATAACTTTTGCTTACAGTTGTCGCTACAGCGATGATGTGATCCTCGTATACGACGGCAAGGATTCTCAAAGTCCACTAATCGCTCAATTATGTAATCGCGAAACGTTTGTACAAATTATATCGAGTGGACCCGATCTCTATATCCAGTTCAAGACCGGATCCGCTCAACCCATTTATAACGGCTTCAAAGCCTCTTATCTTTTTGAGTCAAATCAAACGAATTTGCATTTAATGTCATCTCAAAGCACAACAACTATAAGTCCCATCAAAATAGAAAACATTCAAATCCCACAAATGGGTATGAATTCACGGTTTTGTCACTAAAAAGTAAATGTCATCTAATTATATGTTTTTTGGTTTTGCAGAACCCGTCGAAGATCTCCTCCATAAGGATGAGACCACAGAATCTTCCAGAAGTAAGTCACCATTTATTATAATTATAAAATTGCCCGCATTTATACTTAAGGTTTGGCCACCATTTGGCAAAATCGCCAAAGCTTTTAGTAATTTTTATTAATGTAAAATTTATGTAGAATCCAATGGTGGCCTAAAGTTTTAAATCATTAGTTGAAAGTGATATCAATTATATTGCAATAATAATTTTCCAATTGTTGTGAAAATTTTGAAAATACTTTTAAAGAACTATTGTTTTGTAAACTATTTTTGAAAGTAAAACACAAACACTTGAGTTTCTTTGTTTGCGTCTCGTGTCTAAAATGGCGCTCCGATCATCTGATCCGTCGATACACATCCAAGAGTTTCTTCGGGGCTTTGGGTTATCGATAGCGGGAGAACCCATTCGCGGCGGCTTTTCTCGTGTATACAAAGCCAATTCGCGTGACTCGAGACCATTCGCTGTCAAAGTAGTCAATGTGAGACAAAATGACAAACAGTTTGTCGACCAGGAGATGAAGATCTCGAAGGAAGTCAATCACCCAAATATTATGAGAACTTACAGAACCTATAGATTGTACAACAGGTTTGCGGTGATGATCAGTGACTTCGCCGATGGGGGAGATCTGGTCGGCCTATTGGACAGTAATCTTTATCTCTCGGAGCGACACATTCGGGCGCTGTTCTCGCAGATTGTCTCTGCGGTGGTGTATTTGCATGACATAGGAGTGGCGCACAGGGATATCAAGCCCGACAATGTGCTCATCGACAGAGGGGTCGCAAAACTGTGCGATTTTGGCTACGCGTACAGACCGTTCGATCGTTTCGGTCGACCCGTGTTGTGTCGGAAGGCGTGCGGCACTCTTGACTATCAATCGCCCGAACAGTTTGTGTGTCTATTGAAAGGTACGGCTTTTGACCCGTTTGTGTCCGACTGTTATAGTTTAGGCGCTCTGCTCTTTATGATGACTCTCCGCCAGTTTCCCTTTGATTGTCAACACCTGAACATTGACTCCAATAAACAGATTAGAATGCATTTGAAGAAACAAATGCAATTCAGCGCTCGACTCAACCGTATTCTTCGAGACAATAGAGATGTGTTGAGTATTTTGAAGCAACTCATGACACCTGATGTGGACATTAGAATCAGATCCTCTCAAATCCTATGCCATCCCTGGTTTATGAAACAGATTTAGAGTGAGTTTCAAAACATGACAAGTTTTGCAAAGAAATAAACATTTGAATGAATTATTTTGAATATTTTAATTTATTTTAATGTATCGTTAAGTAATCATTAGGTTATGATTAGTGAAAAGTGATAAAATTCTGATAAAATTAATGATATTTAGCAAACATAACAGGAATAATGACGCGAAAAGTGTAGAGTATTTATAATAAATATATCGTACGCTTAATATTTTTACATTTACTACAAATTCCTAATTAAAATAATTTTTGCTTCAATTCATTGGGAGAAGTATTCAATCATGAATTGCTGTTCAGTCGGTCTTTCATTTCCTTTCATGTGATGTTGGAGTTTGTGTTGAACTAGTGTTGTATCGAAAGGCACACCAACTGTTCAGATGGTATCGATTGAAGCATAAGTTAATTTTAAATGAGCACTGATTTAAGCCTTGTTTGCGATGCCTTTTAATCACTGGTGTCTTCATTGGGATTACTGTGCGAACAAAATTGTCGTTTTCTTTACTGATTATACGATTCCCATTGAATCGATAGGATATTCACTCATTTGTTATCAATGCTATCATTGAATTTAATAAATATTCGTTACACACTTTTTGTGGATATTATTTATTAAGTTTGACAGAAAGTGCATATAATTCGTTGCGACCATAATTTCTATTCAAGAAAGTAAAGACATAAAGCATATAAATCCAAATATACTTCAAATGTTTTTATGTTTGTGTTATCTATTGGTTTAGAGTTTGTTTTTTAGGCTGACATACATTTGAATTTGTTGTGCGAAAACTGGTGGACAACAAATGACAGGGATTTTCGAAACGACAGACAAAATTGATATAAATTCAATAAACTATAGATAAAAACTTGAAACCAGAGCCCACACACACACAGACACATACATAATACAAACACATTGACTCGCAGTGTAATATTGTATGTAATAAAAAAATATTTATTGATACAAAACTTGTGAAATTTTTTGGCCATTTATTTGATTTAGAGATTATGTGATATTTGCGGACACAAAAAATTGTTTGCCTGAAAGTTAGAAATGTGGGCAAAATTGTAGTAAATGTTTCTCAAATTTTATGTGAGAAGAAATGGTCTTCAATGGCAACGGAATTATATGCACTTTCTGTCAAACTTAATAAATAATATCCACAAAAAGTGTGTAACGAATATTTATTAAATTCAATGATAGCATTGATAAC